GCGGCTGCACTTCCGTGGCCTCGGGCGGGTGAGTACGGGCGGGGTGGCGTGGGGAGGTCGGCGTCGGGCCGGGTTCCTGCCTGGGGCCGCCGGGGGCTCGCTCTGGCGTCGGGGGCGCCCCCTGGAGGATTCGGGGCGGGGGAAGGCGCAGAAACTGTTGAAGTGGCTGACGTTGGGGCGCGGGGACGTGTGGGCGGACCGGCAGGCGGCAGCGACACAGGTTCTGAGAGAAAGTGCGTCTGTGTTTTCCTGAAGAGAAACGCTCCGGGAGCTGTGTTTTAAAACGAGCCGCACCGAGGCAGGGGGGGCGCTGGCCGCGGGGTCCCCGAGGGCGCTGTCCCTGCTGACGAGCTCCGCGAATGCGTGGCCATTCGCCCCGCGGAGCTAAGGTCGGAGGCGAGTGAAGACGCATCTTTTGCGGGAGAAAATGTGCGACACGGAAGTCGGGCTCACGGGACGGTCACGGCGCTGTCACATGCTGTGCGGAGCCGGGGCAGGCTGGTCCAGCAGCTCGTCCGGGCCAGCAGGCTCACTGCGCAAACACTTCCCGTTAGACATTGACAGACAACCCAGGCCACATGCTGTGACATGGCTTACTGCCTTTCTTAAGACTTGGCGCCCGATGCATGCACTTGGTCAGATGTAAAACACAGCCTACATGGCGTTTCCAAGTTGATGGAAAACCAGAATTTCTTGGCGGCCTACGGTGGATGCTTAATCATTTTGTTCTTTTGTGTAGTAAACATTGCATCTTTGCTTTCAAGATGATGATGATAATAGAAGACAGGAGCCATTCTATTTTTTTTTAAGGGCTGGGTTAAGAGAGCCAAAACCAGCTGCAAAGTTACATAACGTTAAGAAGTGTAATCATGGTTTGGAGACGTCCAAAGAAGAACCTGTATTTGGCATGAACTGCCAGTGGGCGCTTGAACGTTGGCCCCTCTGGTTTTGGCCATGTGAGCCCTTCATACCCAAATTTTCTCCAGTACTGGCCCCAAATCTACATTTTTTACATGATTTTTTTCTTCAGGTTTCATGTTACTAGCAACCAGTTCAGTTACATCCTCACACGATGGCTGTGAGCTGGGTAAACTCATTTGCCACCTCTGCAGATTATCACCCAAGCATTCAGAAGTAATTGGAGTTAAAACAGGAAACTTCCTGGAAACTCTTAGGCAAAGCGAGACAATGGGAAGGAGACAATGGGATTTAACCTGGGTGGGGAGAAGAGGGTCACAGCCAAGTGACGATGTAACAGCTAAGTGAAATCTCAGCTGGACAAGTAAGTGGTGGGTTTGAAAGAAGAGTGAGTAAGCCCCTAGGAGGCAGCCCAGAGGCATGTGCTGGGAGTGGAAGCAGTCTGGTCAGGCTGGACTTGATCCTAGGACAGTGCTTCTCCAACCTGAACATGCATCATAACCAGAGGGAGGCTACTTGGAAAGAGGCCCTGGCTCCCACCTGCTGAGTTTCTGACTCGGAAATCTGGGGGGAGGTCTGGGAATTGCCTCTGCTCATCAGTTCTCACTTGCTGATGCTGCTGATCTGTGGGCCACACTTGAAGAGCCACTTACTAGAGTGTGGGGGACTGTTGGAGGAATTAGTGAGGGGGTCACAATCACAGTGCAGTACGAGTCCTGTGCAGTCTGGACAGAGGGTGAGGCAGGAGAGAGAGAGGGAAGATGCCTCGCAGTTGTTTTGTAAATGCCAAGTGCTTTGCCACACGGCAGGCTTGCTATTTCACCCCATACTCCCTGCCTTGCGGGCCTCAGGATTTTCCTACCAAGTGTGGTAAAGATTACCCAGGCCCATAGCTGGTCTCAGCTCTGTAAGACTAGTTCAGATTTGAACTAGGTTATGGAATTTAACGGTGATGGAATTTAAAAACTAGAGACTTCTTCAGCAGCTGAAAGTGGAAACTGGGAAATCTGAGTCTTACTGGAAAAGTAGCAGCAGTGAAGTGGCCGGGGAGTGTCAGCATGAATCCGGTTTGTGTTCTGCTCTAGCTACTCTTTTATAACAGTGACCCATTCAAAGTCGCTTGTTTAAAAAGTCAGCTACTTTACCAGCATCTCCTGACATTACTTGAAAAGGAGAAAGTAAAGCCTTCTGTGGAGCTGTGAAAAATAGGAAATAGATTAATGGCAAGTGGCAGCTTATCTTCAAATCAAAAGTGACCAGCACTAGGAAGGTGCAACACTGCCTGCCTGTGTGAGCTGCCCGGCCCAGACACTGACCTAATGTATTGATTTTGGAAATCCTGTGTGTACTCGCTTGCCACAGTGGTTATTGAAATTGAGAATATTCACTGGACCAATTTCAAGACCAACATCCCAAGTCAGACCGGCTGCTGCTGAGCACATTTTTAATGAAGGAAAATATCCATATGTTGAAAGCAGACTTTAAAAAGAAAGTCCTTAAAATAAAAATGTATTTACTATAAAAGTGTAGAAAAATATATGTTTTCAAATCTGATTAACTGCATAATCAGCATGAAGGAGTTGCTGACCCAATCAAAAATCTAGCATACATTTGTTCTCCTTCTGTGAGGGTTAGGCTATGCTCGACACAGAGAGCACTCAAGTCTGAGCCGGGCTGACATCTTAAAATTGACCACAGCAGTGTGATGGGCACAGGACAAGAGGTAGGAGGGACAACCGAAGGGCTTGGACAGGAGGCCAGGGCGCAGGCTCTAGAAGAGGAGACCCTTGATCTGGTTCTTGAAAGCAGAAGGTGAATAGGGAGATAGTCAAGGAATGAAACATTCCAGTCAGAAGGAACACTGTGGACAGTGGCAGGCTTTCTTGTGGCCGCTTCTGGGGCCTGTGTGCAGAACAGAGTTTCGGCTCACTGTGGTGAGAGTGGAGGAGAGCCAACCTGAGAGATGCCCAGAGATCGGCACTGTCTTGGCTGGCTGCAGACGCCAGCAAGCTAGCAGCCCCATGGGGTATCCCGGGGCCTAGCATGGGGCCTAACACAGATCCCCGTTGGTGGTGGCTGAATGAATGAATGACTGGATCACAGAAAACTTTTTCTAAAAAAAAATCACCTTTTTAGGTATTTTAAGCAGAGGGGTAATATAAACACATGTACATTTTATGAGGACAAGTAGTATGGAAAATGAATTCGTATGGTCCGAAGTGCTGCCATAGATGGGGGTTTTTCAAACATAAGCTGCAGTCTCTGAGAAGACGAGTACCAAGACGGTGTTTGAGTGTCATGTGCAAGCAGGAGTACTTGTGTGAACTCGTGTGTGCTCTCTGCGTGTGTGTTGACTGATGGAAAGGTATTTCTTCCTATGGTCTTCAGCAAAGCTTAGCGGCCATATGGTAAGGAAGGAATAAGGGTAGAGAGAAGGGAATGGATGTAAAAGATGTTTTTGAGGAAATAGAACTGAAGCTTAAAACGCTACTGTCCACGTGAACTTTGTTGCAGGGGACAGGATGCACTTAGCAACCCATTTCTGTATTTTTGCCCACTTGTTTTTCATTATTTGTTAATAAATTCACTTTCGGGTTTATTAAGGATGCCTGTATGCTGTGATAGCTTACTGAATGTTGTCAATGTTCTAGACTTCCTCTTGTAATTTGGTAGTACTTAGCTTTAAATTGGAGGATTGTGAAACTTCATTGAAACAATTTGATTTGATTTTGGTCAAGTTCTTTGATTTCTTTCCATCAGAAAGCAGGAAAAGACACTCAGTTATACTAGAGGGAGAGTAGTCAGTCTCCCTTCCTCCATGATATTGCCTAAAAGATTGAGTTTGTTCTTGTGACATACAAATGAGGGTAGAAAGTTGTTCTTTCAAGGCTTTTTGTTGGGTTTAAGGAAATATGTGGACTACATTTAAAATCTGGTTGATTGGCTAAATTAATGGGTTTTAAGTGTGTCCTGTGCTTGGTTATCAGATATGAATTATTTTCTTTCTTTAAAAAAAGACTTATTTATGTGTACAAGAACTGGGTTTTGACAGTCAGCGGTGCGGGGGGTTGAAAAGATTCACCAGAGTCAGAGTGGGGTGAGGAACAGGCAGATCCACTGAAATACACTGCTGAGGGAGCAGCAGGGAGACAGGAGAGGTCAGTTCTGCTGTACCATGTGGGTCTCTCCCTGGCAGAGACTCAGGCTGGCCTCAGTGGCTGGAGGAAGCTTGATAGTGCTGTGTCTTTAACTGCTACACTACCAGGGAGGCCCGAGAACTGAATTCTTTTCTGTAAAAAACATTTAGAAATTTTAGACATTTGGTCTTCTCTGTTAGCTAATATTGGGGTCTCCTACTGATAAGATTTACACAGAAAATGTAAGCTAACTTTTAGCCTAGGGGAAAGAAAGAAGGAAGGACTAGAGGGAAGGAAGAAGGAAAGATAACAAACAGCCTGCAAGAATCATTCCTTATTCAGATGTGAAGGGTTATTTGTGCTCCCTGGATGTGACATGAAATCACTCTTTATAGAACAATCTGGAGTGACACCCTATAGTCCTAGACTTATGAGATACACAGTCCCAACCACCCACGCTGCCCCCCGCCCTAGCTCTGCCACTGGTTGTGAGGTCTTGGGTAGTCACCCTAGTCTTGGCCTCACCTGTCAAGTCAGAGCTCTTCTGTCTTGTCCCGAGGCTTCCCCCCAAGAGCAGGATCCCTACCTCGAAGGTGGTCACCGTTCAGGGAAAGTAGCAGTTGCTGCTCTGTCAGATGCTTCAGGGGCTCGGGGGCCCCAGAAAACAGTCCCTGGGGAGAGATTTAGAAGTTTGAAAACCTCCAGTTAATATGTTGGGCTAGCTTTTGGGTTTGGATAAAAGATGGGAGTAGAACTGTATCGTCCTTAACTTGACTCTTCTCTTAAAGGCTCTTTATGATTTTTACTGACATCAAAGGCCAAGGAACATCAGCATCTCACAATTGTGATAAACCCTGCAATATAAATCATCAGCTTGTCAGTTAGTGGGCATGGATTTTCTGAGAAAGATTGCAATTAACTTGTTGCAAAAAATCACTATCTAAATGTTAGTACAATCTACAATACAATTTATTAGGTCATTTTTATTCATCTCATATATTGAGGGAATTTTATTTGCTTTCATCATTATGAATGCATATGGTGTCATTTAGCAAAACTCTTTGTTACCAGATTTCGATTCCTTGCAAACTTAGTTTTTTGTTTTCCTGTTTTGGAAGGTTGCTTAGATGTCAGAGGTAGCTTGATTCAAAGTTGGGAAGGTAGAGTGTTTTTAGTGAAGATCCTCAGATCACACAGACTAAGTAAGGTTCCTACTCAGACTTTTCCTTTGTAGATCGACATAAAGTAGATTAGCCATCCTTACACACTTTCAAAAAGTATTAAAGGGTTCTTACCAGCTGACCAGTGCTCTGCTAGATTCTGAAGAAGAATAAAACAGTGGTTTCCTTGAGGGTGAGACCTGGTGGCAGTGACTGCCGGGTTGGCCACAGATGCGTAGTGGGGGCTTGGACCGAGCAGGGTTTCTAGGCCAGATGTGTGTCCCTCCTCTGCCAAGGTGCAACAGGGAGCAGGTTGATAGTTTAAGGCAAAAGTAAAGGTTCCATCGTGGATAGTCAACATTTCTCATTAAAGTTCTCATAAAATTCTAAATTTTATTTTTTAAAGATCCTTTTGGCTACTTCTTTTTCTTCGAAGTTTTGTCTGTTGAGATAAAGTTGGTTTATCAGTTTTGGGAGATAGAGGTTCAAACCTCTGCAGATGTTTTTACAACCTGCCCACCCAGTGCCCAGTAATCTTCCACCTGTTCCGTTTCCCCCAGCCTCCCCTATGCTTTGCTGTCACATGCCAAGGGCTTCTTACTGGTTTGGCCTGTCTGACCCTTTTTCTCTGAATTCCACATGTTAGGGACCACACCCACGGCCACAGCCACTGACTGGTTTCTCCTGCTGCGCCAAGGTAGCCCTCTGACCCCCTGAGCAGGGGTGCTTCCCCGCGACATCCTGATTTCTAACTCCCACCCCCAGAGCAGCGAGAGAATAAATGTCTGCTGTTCTGAGCCACCAGGTTTGTGGTTATGTGTCAGCACAGCCAGGGGAAACAAATACAGAAAGTTCACTGCCGTGGCTGGAGCATAGGAAGGTGCCACGGCCGTGTTTGCGTGGCCTTGCCGGGGACAGGAGGCCAAGTGTGTCCCCCACCCCCATAGTGGCCTGGTGGCTCCCAGTGCGGTGGCCTCCGTGGGAGGCGACAGTGAAGACTTGCTTCCAAAAGCTCTTTCTGCATATTTGGAGAAGGTAGCGGCAGGTACTTGAATTTTCTTTTATCTGTGTTTTACCCTTTTTTTTTTTTTAAATAACTTGTCCTTTTAGAATAAGACTAATTTTGTACAAATTGAAGCCGTATTGTTTTCTCTCTCTATCAAGAAAAAAAGTTGTGTTTGGAACTGTAAGCCATTACAGCCTAACAACAACAAAAATTTTGAAAGGTGTGTTCTTTTCCCAATACTGTGTTATGTAGCTAAAATTAATTTTGTGCTGATTGGCTTTGAAGTGCCACTTAGAGAGGTACCTTGGAGGAATAAATTTATTTCATTGTGCTACAAGGTACTTGAAAACCAGAATTGACAATCACCCACCCAATTGTGGAAGGCTCTGTGTGTGTTTTGTCTGGCAATTTTAGTTTGTCTCTGGAAGGTAGGCCTGTGACCTACCTTTTTTCTTGACTAAGGTTTTATAAATTGGCATAGTAATAATAATAAAAGCTAATTTGTTTTTGAGCTCAGTCTCTGTGGTAGACGCTGTTCCCAGCCTTTCACATGAATTAGTTCATTCTCACAGCCCCAGCCTTGTCTTGCCCCTGCCCCTCTGCTCAGGACAAGCGCTGGCCCAGCCGAGGGTGTGGCTGGCAGGCGGAGACCCACGTCTCTGCTGTCTGCCCTGTCAGCCGCCACTGCCCATTGCCGACGGGAGGGGAGACAAGCAAATCTAAATAAAGGAGCCTCGTCCAATTCAAAAAATTGTTTGAAGTAGCCTTGGTTTACAACACTGCCTGTGAAATTCAGTTTTTGTGCTTACCTCAGAGCCTGCTTCGTGGGGCTGGGAATATGCGGTCTCAGTGGTCAGCAGGAGTCTGGCGGCTCTGCCCACAGGGCTGGTCACCACACCACCCACACACCCCACCTCTCAGATGGAGAGATATTTGTGTGTGTGTGTGAGGGGGGACTTAGTGTGGGTTTTCTGCACAGGCACACTGCTACACACAGGCCTCACACTGCGCCTCTTCCTCAGAGGGCGCCTGCCGGGCGGCTCAGTCAGGCCTGGGAAGGGCTGGTGCCCGGCTATACAGTGAGCACTGTGCCTGCGAGACTCCTGCACCTCTGGCCTCTCCAAAAGGCTTCTTCTGTTTCCTTATAACTAGGAGGGAGGTGGGGGACACTCAGGAAACTCAGTGCACATTCCTTTTGCAGCACTGGGTGCACCTTCCACTGTGCTGCAGTCGGTTACATCTCACCGTGGCGGCCTGGAAAGAAGGCTGCAGTGAGGAAGCTGGAAGCAGCCCTCTGCCTTCCAGGCTTCAGAGAGAGAACGAAGGCCAGCATCAGGGGATAAGACTTTGGAGTATGAGCAGAAGGCGGAGCAGCATTTCGGCCCCGGTGGGGTTCTCTGAGCTGAGGCGGGTGGTTCTGACCTCTCACTCGGGCGAGGAGGTGGTCTTGCTCTGGAATTTGGTACGAAACTTCCATCGAATGTTCCCCCAACAGCCCCGATTCTGTGGCTGAGGGGACCTGCCTCCGCCCTCTAGTCTGAGGACTTCAGTGTCCCCCTTCTCCTTTCTTCCAGGGAGGCCACAAGTCCCGTGGGCCAGGCCACGGCAGGCGCAGCCTCACTTCAGACGATGAAGGCCCCCGCGCTGCTCCGCCACCTCCGCCTGCACCTCCTGCACGGGCTCTTCAGACCCCCTCCCCACCGGCGCTCTGTCTGTGCCACGAGTGCGCCCCTCGGGCCAGGCCTCCTGCGAGCTCCTCCGGGCCGCCCCCTTGGACTTCACGGTCTGAAGCGGACGCTGCTGCCAGGCGGCTTAACGAGAAACCTGTGTGCACACACCAGCCTAGAGCAACACCCGGGAGGACTTTCTGATAAGGAGCAGAGACTCGTGGACAAGCTTTACTCTGGCTTAACCCAAGGGCACAGGGCCTGCTTGGCAGAGGCCATAACGCTGGTGGAGTCAACCCACTGCAGGAAGAAAGAGCTGGCCCAGGCGCTGCTTCAGAGAGTGCTCGCCTACCACAGAAAGCAAGAGTTACAGAGAGGAAAACCACTCGCCTTTCGAGTAGGTCAGTTTTTGTTTGTTTTGTTTTCCGGCTGTCCACTAAGTGCTGTTCTGAATTCTCGCTTCTTAAAAAATAAGTGTAGAGACCCTCCTTGGTGGCGCAGTGGGTGAAAGCACAGCACTGAGAATCTAAAGCCGCTTCCGCATGAGTTCAATTCCCGCCTGCCCCGGAGGTGACCACATGGCGCGGCAGACCTCTCCTGACCTGCCCGCTGCTCCCCTCAGCAGTGTACTTCCTCAGTCTGTCTGTTCTGCTCCCCGCTCTGTCTCTGGTGAAGCCACTCACCGCCCCTGAGCCTCTGGCCTGCACCCCAATTCTGTATGCACAAATAAATAAATCTTTCAAAAAAAAAAAAAGTGTAGTAATGGAAATTTGGAAAATAAATTACAAAACAATGGAAATGTTTTTCTCTTCAGAAGATTAAATGCCTTTTCCTTAGTAGTATTGTGCTTGTGTTGGAAAAAAAAATGCCACGAGCTTTTGAACCAAGACTGAATTTTAAGAGAGTAAGAGAAGATCTCAGTTTTTACTAGTCTTGCTGTGGCCCCCAGAAGAGACACAAATGTGCATATAAGTGTTAGCAGTTTCTCCTTTCTCTCCGCAGTCCCTCTGCTTATAGTCTGGTGTGAATATCACTTTTTTGGGTATATTAACTAGTTTTCCTCTTCACATTTCCAATTTCTGCTTCCTAGCTGAGCCAGCGGTCCTTGCTTTTCTTAGCTACCCTTAGCTACTTTGCTGAAGTTTCTGGAACAGGCTTGGCTCTCAGTCCAACCATCACAGCACCAGGATGTGTTCTCAAGGAGAGACCAAGTTCATTTGCTACTTAAAATTAGCCTGATTTGTTGAACCATTGATTCTGTGATTGCCAATGAACGTGTTACGTTTTGGAAATTGAGTGTTTTAAAACAACTTTCAAGTGTTTGGCCAGCAGGAAGTAAGCAAGTTAGTTTTGGGTGGTCTGAGAACTTTTCATGATGCAGAATCACTAGGTGATTCCAGTCAACTCTCCCCACAAAAAATCACCCTGACAAAGTACAAGCATCTCGTGAGGGATGAGTAAATTGATTGGCTTTGCATTTGACTTTTATACCCCAGATTATGAGGATACAGGGACTAAAACTGCCCACTCTGGGGCGCGACGGTAGACATGTTTTAAAGACCATTCCAGAAATAGCTCACCAGTCCTGCATGTCCTGACCCACACCTTCTGTCCTTCCAAGGGAACCCACCTGGGAGGGTACGAGGCAAGATGTGAATAACCGTGTGCGTTACAGACAAATAGCAAACTCCAAAGAGAAATTCTAGTTAGGACAAAGTGGACCTCTGCCCCATAGGTAGGACAGACTCAGCACCTTGCAGTCCTCAGAGAAGCCTCGAAGAGAAAAGGCGTAAGGCAGGTCTGAACGGAACCAGTGACTCACAACAAGCAGCCACTCTCGTTCGTGACGCTCTTCTGGTACCCCCGGCTGGCTCAGGGAGGCCGGTGGGCCTGGATCTACTGTTCTCACTTTTCACCCTCCAGTAAAGCAGTTTACTCAGCACCTGTTGAGATGTGTAAGCCAGAGAGCTGCCCCCAAAAGGGGCCTGGAGCACGCCATCTTCCATACATACTTTTCCATATAGTCATAATTAAAAGTTTGTTTCACATACTTTTATTGATCATACTCTCAAAAATCTCTTTATGCATGCACTGTTCTAGACTCAGGCAAGTGTTAATTCATCTAATCCTTCCAACAGCCTAACACGCGAGGTATTGTTATTTTATTTGGGTGCACACTACACTCAGGCACAGATTGGTTAAGTAACTTGCTCAAGATCACACAGCTCACGAGAGGCAGAGTGAGAAATAAACAGACCTGCGCCTTCTGGGGCTTGCGCTCTTATTGAGTGTCCTTTCCATGTCCCTTTTAGAGAATTTTCTACCTTTCTTACGATGCTTTTCTTGAGCAATGCACTCTTTTCCCACTCAGAGGAGGGGGGTCACGCTGGGAAGGGGGCGTGGTGACGGGGCCTGGCTGGCCCCGCGGGCGCATCATGGCACCGCAGTGGAGCTTGTCCATAGAGCTTCATTGGAGCAAAAAGGCAAAGCACGTTTCCATTACTTAAAGGTGAATTTAGTGGACATGCAGTACTCAGAATTGTTTCCTCCCACTGGCTCAGGAACTAGATAAAACAATGCATTTCCCATTTTTGCTCTATGAAATGCTAAGCTCTGTTAATGGGGGCTTGAGTAAATCAAGAGAAACTGAAGGCTGTTAATGTTTGTGTAACAGGGCTCGTTCAGTGCAGCATTATGAAATCGGAAGGTCTCTTTCCACTCTAGGACTGTCCGGGCCCCCTGGTGCTGGCAAGTCAACCTTTATAGAGTATTTTGGGAAAATGCTCACTGAGAGAGGGCACAGGCTGTCCGTGCTGGCGGTGGACCCTTCTTCCTGCACAAGCGGTGGTGAGTATGGCTGACTCTGGACACTGCAGAGCAGGGGCAGTGTCATTGCTGTCACAACTTGGTGAGAGTTTGCGGTCTGGTGAGCTCAGGCCTCTGCGGAGGTGGGCTCTGGCCAAAGGGCGGCCTCGGGCAAGATGGAGCCTGGAGGAGGTAGTGTAGGGCACTGAGCCCCCTGGAGGGGCCCGGGGTGGGCAGTGCAGGATAGGGGGGCGGGGGGAGGTGGAGAGGCAGGGGACAGGTGCGGGGGCTGAGGGTAATTGGAAGTTCCTGCCCTTGACTGTCACGCCTGGCCCGTCTATTCCCACGGTTGTTCTCTGGCCTTACAGCCCCCTCAGCTCAGAGAATGGTCCTTACTCCGTATTCTCCCCGTGTTGTAACGGGGCTTAAGCTTTACAGCAGATCGTGCTGTTCTTCATGTCACCTGCTTGTGGTGTGTGTTCAGTTCAGCAGAAAGCTCTTAGCGGGACCGTGTAATAAATATGCTGCTGTGCCGCCCGCACTGAGCACAGCACATCACACTTGGGCTCAGCAATTACTTCTTTATTTGAGGCCATGTAGTCACTCAAGTTTAATTTGCAGCTCATCAGAGATAAAGTGAATAAACTTAGTTTCCCAAAGGATCATTTAGAGAAAACATAAAGCATACCATACAGATACTCTAGAAGGGTTTTTCTTCCCTTACCGCCTTTATGATTTGGGCGACTCGTGTTACATTATTCACTGAATAACTATTTGAACACCTGCTCTAAACAAGGCACTGGGCCAGGAAGGTATTGTGTGTAGAGGGCGAAGAAGACACAGTCCCTGTGAGGAAAACAGACAGGCCAGGCCTGTCTGTCCGCATCCTAGGCGTGGGATGTGGAGTGGAGACCCACGGTGCTTTGTGGGGTGTTTACTTGGTGGACTGTAGGCGTGAAAGTTGCAGGTGGCACAGTCCATTTAGGAGGCTTTAAGTCATCAGAGCGGTGACTAGCAGTCACCCACTGAGAAGTTGTCTGAGGACAGTCAGGACTCTTGGTTCACTATAATCAAAAATCTTAGCCATAAAATAGAATTTATACTCATAGCTTCAAGACTAAGTCAATATCAACATTTTATCTCATTTACAGTCTGAGGACATTGTTAAAGGTGAGCTCTTGAGCAAGGAATTTCCTTGTGGTGGTCCTCATTTTCAGGCGCATGAAACAGCTCGCCTCCCTTACTGCCTGTGGAGCCAACGAACCTAATAGCTTGAGATAATCATAACAGAAGTGGGGCCATAAGACAGTCCATTTAGAAGTGAACAGCTGTGTGGTTCCTAGTCTTTTTCAGCTGATACAAGAGTCCTTTTCTCCTGTAAAATAAAGACCTTGAAAGAAAAAAGTCCTCAGGAATAAGTGAGACACTGTAAATAAACATTTCCACCTTATTACTGCCCCAGTCCAGTTTTGGACAAGAACATTACAGGAAAAGTCTGAGGAGCTGTCTCCAATGGCCCATCATTGGCCAGACTCTGTATACTTCTGGTTCAGAGGCTCCTGCCCACTTGGGGACCTCCAGGAGGGTCTGCAGCCCATTGGGAAAGGCAGCTATGGGTGGGGGCGGTTTCATGTTTGGTTCAAGCATATTAAGATCTATAGGATAATAATTTAATGTGTAGCTTTGCCAGGTTGTTGACTTACCTAGAGATGATTTCATGTTGAAAATTACTGAAGAAAAGTGTTGTATGTGTAGTAAGTAAGGTTGTCGAGATACGTGGTAGGTATGTGCTCTAGAATTAGAACCCACGAGAATGTGCTGCAGGAATCAAGGGAAAGAGTGTGTCTTTAAGGAACTCCTTAATGTTTAGCTTCAACGTAGGTGGAAAATGTAGGTGTTAGGTAGAGTGTGAATTAAAAATCAGGTTAGAACAGCATCCCACCTGCAAATGTTACTACGTGACTGCAGGAGAGGTGTTGAAGGCCATTTCTGTAGCTCCTGGGCTTTCAGTGTTCTAGGATTTGCAGGTATTGATGTTTTTGCCAAAATGCCAAGGGGCTGGAAGCAAAGACTGGTTCTGGGGCTCGTGGACGATGAGATTGGACAGGCGTGGTGGGCTGCACTCTGAGCGCCTTCAGTGTGAAGCTTCAGGACTGTCAGGGAAGTCACTACGGGGACTGAGGGCTTTGAAATGATAAGAAGCATAATTCAGCATCGTTGTGTGCTGCTGGAGAGAAGCTCAATCTGTGAGACACGACTGGCGATCCTGGTAGACATGCTCCACAGCACTTCCCCTGGGAACTTAGAAGTTGATGGCTTGATAGTTGATCCATGGCAGGGTTCATGACTCTACAGTGTGACCGTGTGTTTTAGGGTCTCTTTTAGGTGACAAGACCCGGATGACTGAGTTGTCACGAGACATGAATGCGTACATCAGGCCGTCCCCCACTAGTGGGACTTTGGGAGGTGTGACAAGGACCACAAACGAGGCCATTCTGTTGTGTGAAGCAGGGGGATATGACATCATCCTC